TTCCATCTGGAAAGAATATTAAAAACGAGGCACCTTCTCATCAAAACAGTGTTTCTTTGGATTTGGAACTTGAAATAATTTTTTTTTTTTTAAAGTAACTTTTAACCCTAGCATGGGGCTCAAACTCATGACACTGAGATCAAGAGTCACATGTTCTATTGACTGAGCCAGCCACGTGCCCCTGGATTTGGAACTTATAAGTGAACTTCTCCCACATGTAGTGCTCATTTCTTCCTACCTCTCACTGTACTGTATCATGCACATATTTATGTTCCATTTCTAGACTGAAAACTTTTTGAAGGTAGGTTTGACTCTTGTTATTTATCTCTCCCCACATAAGCCTTTAGCATAGGTTTACTCATGCTAGATGTTTAACGTCTGTTTAATAGCAATTAAAATCAAAAGACACAACAAACCTCATTAATGGGATTTAACCTCTGTTTTTCCCAAAGAGGAACTCACAAAAACTCATACAGGAATATGACAGGGTTGAGGTGGGTGCCTAGGTGAAAGTGAAGGCAGTATACCTTTTTTTTTTTTAATTTTTTAAAAGATTTTATTTATTTATTTGACAGATTACAAGTAGGCAGAGAGGCAGACAGAGAGAGGGGGGGAAGCAGGATCCTCGATAAGCGGAGAGCCTGATGCGGGGCTTGATCCTAGGACCCTGGGATCATGACCCCAGCCGGAGGCAAAGGCTTAACCCACTAAGCCACCCAGGCACCCCGGCAGTATACCTTTAAAAACACTTCTCAACTTCTTCTCTAGTTACCTATTTAGTACAAGTTTTCTAACCTCTCTGTGCTTCAGTTTTGGTGATTTATATTTTCCCCCCAAATGAGCCATTTTTCTTAGATTTTCAAATTTAAAAGATTTTGTTTAATAGAGCATGAGTTGGGGGGTTGGGAGCCGCCATTTTAGCAGGGAGCCTGCCGTGGGGCTGGATCCCAGGACCTTGGGATCACAACCTGAGCTGAAGGCAGATCTTCACTGACTGAGGCACCCAGGAGCCCCTGTTGTTCTTTTTCTGGTTTCTTGAGTTGGGTGCTAATTTTCAGCATCTCCTGTTTATTAATAAAAATATATAAAGCTATGAATTTTTCTTTAAAGTTTTGGCCACAGGATTTAATGTACTGTTCCCTTTGTTAATTTCTTTAACCTAAAGCCTACTTTAAAAAGTTTAAAATATCCAGGTGCTAGTTTTTTTTGGGGAGTGGGGAGTGAGGGTGGAGAGAAGCTTTTCATTATTAATTTTAGGTTTATTGCACTGTACTAACAGGATGTGACGCTTTGATTTCTGCTTTTAAGAATTTGTGTTTTTCTTCGTGGTATGGTGTGTGACCACTTTAAAAAAAAAAGATTTTATTTCATCTTTAGAGAGAGAGAGAGAGAGAGAGCGCAAGTGAGCGCACAAGAGCAGGGGGAGGGAGAAGCAGACTCCCTGCTGAGCAGGGAGCCTGATGTGAGGCCGGATCCCAGGACTCTGGAATCAGGACCTAAGCTGAAGGCAGCCGCTTAACAATTGGGCCATCCAGGTGCCCCTAGATGATCAATTTTTAGAAAGTGTTTCAGATAAAAAAATTTTATCTTCTGTTGGGTGCAACTAGTGAGCTCTTTATGGGACTAAGCAATTATTCACATCTTCTCTGTCCTTCAGATCTGTTTTAAAGGTTCCTTCTTAAAATAATTTCATCACATTTTTCTTTTTCTAAAAGTTCTTACTTTATCTTGATGCCACTTAGTGCTCTGAAAGACTGTTTCTATTTAATCCAATGTCCTCCCCCATGATCTCTTTAAGTCCCAAAGAAGCTCTAAGACCCCAAAATTCTATTTCTAGAAATGGAACTGAGAGAACACTGACATTCTGGTCCCCTGATTGATGCTCAGTTAGGCAACACTGCTGAGCTCTTCGGGTGGCACAACTGATGGGTTTGGGGTATTTATGCTATAGAGATCTTTGGACATTAACACCCAGGTCACTGGTAGTAGTTAAATGTCCAAAGAGGGTAAAAACATGGCTAATCCAGTAACTCCCTCAAAGTCTCCCTTGAAAGATTCTGCAGCATATGAATATAAGGACCTATTTAGCCAGAGCGACTCTATCTCGGTTAAAAGCCATTTTGTTGTTTGTGCAGTAAACTTAAATTGACCTTGCCCCCCAGAGGAACTTACTTAGAAGCAAGTCTGGAAAACCAGTAAAATGTAGTCAGCTAGTTCCTGGTAACAGAGCCCAGAATACAAGGACGAGTCAAGCCAGATGGAGACATCTAATCAGTACTAAGTACTGTTTGTAACAGTGAGGAGGTCTTGCCCAAACCAAAACGACTCCATCTTGGGAAGAACGACCACCTTATTATTCACACTGAATATGTTAACTGACTAAGCCTTTCTAGGAAGTACTATTTGTAACGGCTCCTGGTATGGGGTAATCTTAAATAACAAGTCACCAGACCAGATGGAACTAGCCAATCAACAAGAGACACACAAACCCCGGTGCGGGGCGGGGGGGGGGGGGGGGGGGACAAAAAAAAAAAAAAGGGGGGGGGGGCGCCCCAAAAAAACGGGGGGGGGGGGGGGGGGGGGGGGGGGGGGGGGGGGGGGGGGGGGGGGGGCGCTAAGATACCAAGATATGGGTTGCAGTTTCACCCAATAAAAGGCAGCCTGTAAGACTGGGAGGGGTCGCTCTCTTCGGAGGCGGCCCTGACTGGTCAATCAATTCTTAAGCCTGTAACCTGGGGGTGGTCGCTCTCTTCGAAGGCGGTCCTGACGAGTCAGTCAGTCAATTCTTGAGCCTATAAACTGGGGGTGGTCGCTCTCTTCGGAGACTGCCGGGGCTGGTCAGTTTGACTTCTAATGCTTGGCATAGAATAAAGCTTTGCATAACTTTAACTTTGTTTCAGTCTCGTTTTGTTTAATAACGGACCTAACATAATGACAAAGTTATGCTTGAGGAACACCTAGGAGAAACCATCTTTCGGTCAAAGGGGTACTAGGAATCCTGGGTTCTAGCTCTTGGGCTAAGTCTTAGTGTGACATCAGATCCCAATTTCCTCACCAGGAAAACCATGAGGCTATGTCAGAGTCCCTCAGGGGCGCCTGAGTGGCTCCCTGCATAGACCAAGCCACTCCTGATTTCACGGTCGTTGAGTTCAAGCCCCACCTTGGGGATAGAGTTTACTTAAAAAAAAAAAAAATTCCCTCAGAAGTAGCCTTGATATCTAAGGGGAGGGATTAAAAGTATTAACCCAATGTCTGGGTGTCTAGAACCGAACCAGCATTACAGTTTTGTTTTCTCCCTCTCCCCATCCACCTTCGCAGATCTGGAAGGAGTCATGATGAGTTCGAGTTAGCTTGGCAGAGACCAACCAGAAAGCCGGTCCAGCAAGCAGTAACAATCTCTGGCCTCATCAACACTTCTCTCCCTACCTCGCCTTCTTCGGCCGTCGCTTCTTTCAAGTCCCCATCCCCGTCCCCGTCAGTTTCCTCCGGGATTCCGTCCGTGTCGGTAGCTCCTGGGCCCCGGGGAGCAGCGGCCGTTTCATCTGGCTCCCCCGTTTCTCCTCCTTTTTCCGTGGGCGACTCGCAGGCGTTATCCATAGCAGCAAGGAAAAAGGGAGAGATCGCAGTCCTGACAGATCTGGAGCTCCCGACCTAGTGTAATGCAGCAGCCCACAAGCTTACTTCCTGTCGTCGCGCTATGATAACATCACTCCTACGGCTCCTCGGAGGGGACAGTTTGAAGCACGCGCAGGGGACTTCGGGGCTCCGTTTTAACTATGAATTGGTGGCGGATGGAGAGGGAGGATTCAGGGTACAAAATTCAGTTTGTGGATTTTCCTTCCACGTTGGGAAATCAGCATTTGTAAAGGATAGTTGTATTGTTTACTGAAAGACTCCCCCGCTTCCCCGAAACTTCTGCCTTTCTAAAAACGTAGTTAACTCCTTAATCCGCTTTCTTCAGAGTAAAGTTTGGGGACGGGAGAAAACTCAATTCCGTCATTGCCCGTGTAGTGGGATGCGGCTATCTGATAAAACTCAGGCAGGGACTCAACCTCGTACATTTCAATTGGGTAGAGATCGTGGACCTGTGTGAGTCTCCAGAATTTCTCTTCGGTTCCTTAAGCACCTTAAAAATTAATTAATTAATTAATTAATTAATTAATAAAAATCATATGGTTTGAACAGAATCGATCCAATCCATTTATTCACTCCACAAGTTTTGACCGCTTACTTCGAGCTAGGAACATTTCTAGTAGCAAAAACACATAGTTTCTACCCAATTAAGTGAGTTTTCCAATTCACCAGTCCTCAAGATTGAGGTCGGTTTCACAAACCTGACTTCTTATGTCAGTTTAGTTAATCTCATCAAAAGCAAGAGGAAGCAAATCCTGCTGGGAAGGGAGGTCGTCGTCTTCTTTTTTGCACATTTCACTTTAACAAGCCATTTCAGAGATTGGGACCATGAAGAAGTGGAGATGTTTCTATTTAAAATTTTTCCTCTCTTCCCTCATTGAGGTACGGAGCGGTGCATTTTATTTACCTCTGCATCACTAGGTCTCCACATCCACCACATATTTAACTTATACGTGCTGAAAGAATGGGCTTGGAAATGTAGGTGCGCGTTACCATATTTCTCTCTTTGTTTCTACGCTGCCTGGGTGAATTACCGTATTTCCTGTCCTGAGGGCTCCCAAAACCTTTGGGGAAGGAGCGCACTTCGGTAGGCGCATATAGGTGGGACCCGTTTGTTCCCTTCCACCTGTACAGCGGGTATCTACAAGGCGCTTTCCTCTTGCCCCCGGAGGCCCATCTCCGCAGATCCGGGTCCATTTCCCACAGACCAAAGACACCTGTACCCGCCGGTCGAGCCCCGCCCAGCTAGGTGGGCAAAGGGGCGGGGCGCGGGGGCGCGGTGACGCGTGACGCCAGATCCCGGAAGTGACGCGCTCTTGGGGCGAAAAGGCGGGGGGGAGGGGGGTGGTGTCCCCGGCCGGTTTGGGGGGTGCGTTGCCCGGAGACGGAAAGTTTGGGAGCCGGAGCGGGCTCGGCCGCAGCCCTGGGAAGGGGGTCCAGGGGGCGGTGGCCCTGGGGATGGGGAAGGAGCAGGAGCTGCTGGAGGCAGCCCGCACAGGGCACCTCCCGGCCGTGGAGAAGCTGCTGTCGGGGAAGCGGCTCTCCTCAGGCTTTGGGGGCGGCGGCGGCGGCGGCGGCTCCTCCGGGAGCGGCGGCGGCGGCGGCCTCGGGTCCTCGAGCCATCCCCTCTCCAGTCTGCTCAGGTGAGTAACGCCCCGGGGCTGGACGGCCGTCTGGAGACCCCCTCTCCCCCGCCCGTCTTCGGGGTCTCCAGAGAGGTCCGCGCTTCTGAGACCCGACCGGGTGGGTTTGCTGGGTGCCCCGGGTCGAGGGCGGGCGGCCCACGGGGCGAGGAGCGCGGGTGCGGGTCTGCGCGGCGCCGGGCTCTCGTCTCGCATCCTGACCCAGCTGAGGAGAATGGTGGGAGTGCCCAGGTGGCAGCCGCCGCCGCCGCATGGCACAGCCCGGCTTCACCCTCGCCCGCTGTAGGGTGCCAGCTGTCCTATCTCACAAGCCACTTCAGAGCAAAGAAGTATTTATTTTAAATATCCCTCACCTCCTGCAGAATCTCCCACGCCTTGCAGAATCTCGCCGCTCGCCTGGAGGAAATTCTCTTGATTCCCCTTCCACCACGCTCCGCAGGACCTGGCTTTTGTTTATATTAGCATTGTATCTGGATTTATTACGTTCAAAGTATTCCTTTAGTCCCTCTTGTGCTTAAAGCTCAAATTCTAGCTCGTTGTAGTGAACCTCATTGGATTAGTCTGCTAAGTGGCATATGCAGGATTCATTAAGGGGTTTATTCGTCAAGAAACAAAGCTTTAGAAAGACTGGTTTAGGAAGCTCAGGGGTGCTTTAAAGTTCTCTGAGACCTGTTGTTAAACCCTTGAATCTGGAGATGTACTGATTTTGAGAGAAAAAGGTCATTTTTGCATGGCTTGGAGGGGGGGAATTGGAGGTGCTTTGTCAGTGTGAGTAAAATGTGTTGGTTCAGCAGCACTTTCATTGCCTGTTTTCTTTTCCTTCCTTGTTCTTTTGAGGTTTTTAAGAAGTGGAAGTTCATTTAGAAATGGCTTTGTTGGCTTTTGTTCCCCCTTAGTTTATGTAACTTCAATTTGAGTGAGCTTGGACCAAAGCAGCCCAAGGACCTGATATATTGTTACGTATTAAGCACGGAGTACAAACCCAGGTCTACACAGGAAGATTTTTAAAAAGCAGTATAAGAGAAGAACTGTCCCCAGGAGTTCTTTTGGGGAGGTTAAAACCAGTGCTCTTTGCTGCCCTTTCTCCAGCTCCTAGAACAATGCTGTCACACAGTTGGTACTCAGGATTCATTGAATGAATAAAAGTATCTCTTAGAGGATGACAAATTTCTAAATAGGCTGATGGTGGTACTGGCAGTAATTGTTAGTAGTTCAGAGAAATGAGGCATAACTTTGGGAATGAGATAGAGACCAGAGCTTCCAGGAGGAGGACTTCAGCTGGCTTTGAAGGATGTGAAGATTTAGATAGGTGAAGTACAGTGAGAGCATTCCAGGCTGGCAAGCCATGATCAGAGGCACAGAAGCAGGAAAGGAAACTTATCTGGTGCTAGTGGAGCACTAGAAGAACTTCCTGCCTGTAGCCTCGAGTGGTTGGGCATGATAAAGGGTAATAATAATGAATGGGGTACGCTTCCATCTTTCAGAATGACTTAGTCTTTCTTAAGTTTATAGTCCCAGTCCCTAGATCAGTGCCTGACAACTGATGGGTATTCATTAGATGTTCTTTTTTTTTTTAAGATTTTATTTATTTATTGTCGAGGAAAAGAGAACACGAGCAGGGGGAGAGGAGCAGAGGCAGAGAGAAGCAGGCTCCCCACTGAGCAGAGAGCCCAATGCATTACTTGATCCCAGGACCCTGAGATGAAGGCAGATGCTTAACTGACTGAGCCACCCAGGCGCCCCTTAAAAGATGTACTTCGAATGCATGCATTCGGTTTCAAATCTTCCCTGGATTACTCCCCCCCCCCACCCCCCCTGCATTACTTTGATATATCTGCAGTTCTGATGTCTGAGAGATGAGAGAAAGACTATACAAGTTTGGAGCTGACTATCTCTAATTAGCTGAATAGTGTAACATTTGGAGGTTTGCCAGAAATACCTTAACCCCTAGTATATCCTGCTGAAGTGAGAAACTTTCAAATATCTCCCACCTTCAAGTACAGATCAAATTACTTTTACTGCTCACACTCAGAGACTGTTGAAATTTTGCTGAGGATTTCGCTGCCATGTAGTTAAGCAAGACTAGGAAATCTTTGTTGACCACAGCGTTTTTACCTTGGGCCTCATGCTAAAATGTCTAGTCTCTTGTCATAAAGTGTGCATGTGTCTCCATTTCCTTGCATAAAACAGCTGACCCCTGACTTGCTCTTGTGTCTCTTATGGAGATGGTAGGTGGCCTAAGAGCAGCCCCAGCCTGTCATCCCTGGGATTCCTAGGGGCAGGGAGGCTCTGCAGGCACTAGTTACACTAGGTGTGTCATTAATTAGAGGTGATTCTGGTTCAACCTAGTGAAAGATTTCTGAGCAACTAACACTCTATATTTAAATAATCCCTAGGTCAGCATGTCCTCCCTTTTTAGGTTTGGGAATTTCCCTGTGCCCACACTCCCCACCTCCAAGGACCCTTAACAAGAGCTGTGGAATCATAGCTTCAGATCTGGCCTTCGCATTAGCTGCTGTACCCCACCCTCACTAGTAGTGCCACTGCAACATGTGTTTGTCCAGCTGTTTGAGTGACCAAGTAAAGCTGGCACGAATGGGAGCTTACAGCTGCAGCAGATATAAATGTTCTAAACCAATATGTTTGTTTGCCCCATTCATCTATTTATGAACCCCCCCCCCCAGTTCTACAAAGGTTTTATGTTTATTCTTAAGCTACAGAATGCTCCCTCTCTCACCCCATCTCTTTATTCCTACACTTCTTGGGCTTAGGTCTTAACTTCTTAAAGCCCTCCCTAATGACCCTAATACACACAGATCTCTCAGGCTTCTACTTGTTTGGAACCGATCATCTGGAGTGTACAGTAGCTCACTGGCTCATACTTTACGTGGCTAGCTTTCCTAGTTTATTGCTTTGTTCTGTCAGTATAATATTTACCTATAGTAACACTCACCAGTTGAGAACGTACCAGAGAATCAGAAAGTCAGCAAAAACTTTTAGGGAAGAAAAGTTGTTATAAACTTCATGTCTTTCGGACCTTCACGTATTTACTGCACATTTATTCCAAGGCAGTACAGTATATTGTTCCGCAGTCTGCCTGCCTGAATTCACAGTATACTCCCCCCAGAGACTAGCTGCTTGATTTTTAATTATGCACCCGCTTGGAGCCTCAATTTCTGCATCTGTAAAATGGGGACAGTATTGTTTGTGTTGTAGGTATCATCTTAGATACTGTGTGTAAGATACTTCCGTAGTTTCTTGTGGAATGCTCATTGTAAATGCTCCCTGTTAACCATCCTCAGGTCAGTTCAGCCCGTGCAGTTTTGCCATACCATCCCTGCTGTATGCAAAGTACCATGCCAGACATATTATAACTGGGGTTCTTTAACACTTCGGAGTGTGTTTTCTGGGCTGTGGCAGATTAGAGAGAGTACGTAAGGGAGATCGCCTGCTTAGGTAGGCACATTTAGTGATGTTCATTTATCTAGTGTTTACCTGTCATCTACTTTGTGCCCAGGCCGATTGCTATGTGTGCTGCAAAGTTTAGCTCAGACCCAGGACATAGTAGGTACTTAAAATTAGCCCTTCTCCTGATACATGGTCTGTTTTCTTATGGCATTTATTGCAGCATATGTCTGTGTGACCAACTGACAAAATAAGAGAAAAAGCAATTAAAATCTATCATAATTTTCCCCCACCAGTAATTTGAGACTGTTAACTTGGATGTGCACAGCCCCACACATTTGCTTATGCCCCAGGCATCATTGTACTGTAGCTTAGTGCTTTAATTTCTGTTTATTATGACTCTTAGCCATCAGATACAGATGAAATTATATTCAGTATAGCATGTTAATGGGAGTAGGAAGAACATATTTTAGTTTTTTGTATCCAAAATGATTCAAATATAATTTTTGTTACTTAAAAAGATGGCAACAGATTATTTAAAAGCATAGTTACCAGGGGCACCTAGGTGGCTCAGTGGGTTAAGCCTCTGCCTTCGGCTCAGGGCATGATCCCAAGGTCCTGGGATTGAGCCCCGCATCAGGCTCTCTGCTCAGTGGGGAGCCTGCTTCCCCCCTCTTCCTCTGCCTGCCTCTCTGCCTATTTGTGATCTCTCTCTGTCAAATAAATAAAATCTTTTTTTTTAAAAAAAGGCATAGTTACCTGAAATGTCTAGTCCTAGAAAGGTTCTGGGTGGCATGAATTTTGCTTTATATAATACAATCTCATTTTCTGATTGTTGAACAGATGTATGTCTTCAGTCAGTACCTTGGAACAGGCACTGTGTTAAACTTCTGTTTAACTCATGGTGTTTTTCAGCCTGCGCACAAATTCTCATGTAACGCAGAGTTTGATATGTTGGTGGTCATACTGAAACTACTGATTTCCAGGAAAGCAAATTCTAGATGAGAAGACAGTAAGATTTGGGTAGAAGTGAATTCTATCTACTACAGGGCAAAAATACCTGAGAAAAGGAAATGTTATAAGAAAACATCATATATTAAAAGTATATAGAATTATGAGCTAAATACTGGTATATGTGAACGATATAAAGTGAAATGCAGGGACCCCTGGGTGGCTCAGTGGGTTAAGCCTCTGCCTTTGGCTCAGGTCATGGTCTCAGGGTCCTGGGATCGAGCCCCGCATTGGGCTCTCTGCTCAGCAGAGAGCCTGCTTCTCCCTCTCTCTCTGCCTGCCTCTCTGCCTACTTGTGATCTCTGTCCGTCAAATAAATAAATAAAATCTTAAAAAAAATAAAGTGAGATGCATTTCTGAGGGTTCAGAAGCACAGAGAAACTAAACCAAAGGCTAGGATGAAGGAGTAGATTATATCATGGTTTAGGGGAATTCTATACTTAATTTCTCAAGCTAAAGAGTGAATAAGAAAAGAAGCCAAGGAGGCTTACTGGAGAAATCGGAAAATTTATAGACCGTAGCATTAAATGTGGCTATAAATTGGGTTTTACTCTATGTTTTGGGTGGTGGGGGAGACTGTCCAG